GTCATTTCTATTCTAGCTTTAACCTATTATGGAGAACTAGTGATTAAATTAATAATTAGTAAAAAAAGAGGGGAGTGAAAATTTTAAAATCAAAAAATTTTTTATATTTTTAATCAAGAGAATTCTTTGGTAATCATATAGTGATTTTTGATACTCTAAAATAGCCATCATTAGAGGTCTTTAAAAACATGTATTAGTTTTATTGTCCATTCTAATATAATTTGTGACTGGCACTCTCAGAAATGGAACTGTAGTATAGCGTGAACTTCTCTATTCGAAAATGTTCGCGTGAATTTCTCTATTGTCGTAGCACAAAAATAACTTTTAATTTGAAATTATTACGAGCTAATGTAAATTTTTAAATATATAAAATGAAATAATTATTCCAAATTATACTTGAAATAAGTTTAATTTCAAAAATTGTTGATTTCTATGAGCGCCTAAATGTATGTACGGAAATATGAGTATTGAATATAAATGTAGTAAGAAACATGAGTAAATCATGCATTATTTGTTACGAAGTATATAAAATATAATAATTTATATAAAAAATAATAAAGTGATCTTTATTATAAAAATAACAAATATATGAAATTTAAGAATGGTGCTTATATATTTTACATTCAATAAAATTTTTAATTCTTTGTTTAAATCTAAAAAAAATGTTTGATGCAAATAATACATGAAGTCATAAGTAACTTATCTTAATCAATGCTTTAATTTTTATGCATATTTCTCTTTATCTCTCATTAAATAAACAAATTCGATATAAATTGCGGATTTCATGGCATTGTATTCAACAGCATAAAATCATGAATATTAATAATTTCTGTTTTTTTTTATATAAAATAATTTAAGTGAGGTTTTGTCTGTGTTCATTTCTGTTGCGAGCTTGGTCAAGATCATGGTTAAATCAACCGGACCGGCTTGATTTAATGTGATTTTATTTTTTATGCTTTAAACTCAATATTTAATTGAGTGTATAAGCTTACCAACGACTTGGGTTTTTAAGTGATTAAAATTCAAATTTTGTTTCCGGAAGAAGTTGCAAACTACAAAAATGCAGAAACAAAGAAATATACGAATATTTATTTAAATCAATAAAATCAATTTATGACTTCTTATACATTGAATGTATTAATGTACTAATATTCTAAATATATAATTGCTTATAAATAAAGAAAAATGAAGTATTATTATCATATACTTTTTTGGTTTTTAACATAATTACAATACACATAATTATCTTACACTTTAAAAAACAATGGCTGCATGGACACACGCCGGTATTATAAAAAATTGTATTCAAATTTAAAAAGAATTTTTTTATTTAAGTGCTAACTCACATGGTTCCAGTCTGTCTCAAAGCCTGACTTTAATTATATTTGTGTGTGTGAATAAGTGTGTGAATTAAACTGTGTTCTGTGTTCTTCCGTACAAATTTTTTGTCTTATTGTTTATCAATTTTTCAAACAATTATTTTTTTTTTAAATATCTTTTTATATATAAAAATGAAATGATTCAATATTATGCATAAAATTTAAATTTTGTATTTGTGTGTTTATGTGATTTTTTTCAAAATTAATTAATTAATTAATATTTGTTGGTTCTTGTTCTAGAAGTTAAGAATTCAAATGATTTCCAAGGCCTTGTTTGGGTCTTTTGGAACATTTGATATTAAAAAATATTATCTTAACTTTTAATTTGTTTTTGATTTTAAAACAGTTTGGTGGTTGTTAACACAGAAATTTGTAGATTTTTCGTAAAACACGTTTCGAATATTTTATAAATAGATATAGTATCACATATCTGATTTTCACTATTTAGTATGCAATTTTAATGAAAGGTATTAAGATTTTTAAATATATATTTAAGAAAATATTAAAATATACTAGTAGTAATTTACTAGTTTCGAAAAGCGTTAAGCGAGTTTAAAAAAAATATACTAATTTATATGCACAAATTTTAATGTAAATTAATATAATCTTCTTATAAAAATATATTAATTCATTGATTTTCATAGAAAAAGTGAAGAAAAGTTTTTGTTGTGCTGTAACTACTAATACTATATTCAAACAGACAAATTTCCTTAATTTCGTTAAAATTAAATTAAGTTACTTTGGAAAGTATGCATACTGCACCAAATTAAGAAAATAATATATTTTTTGTTTACAAATCGAATAATACAAATTACATGATCCAAACACTATTTGTATTGGGATATTTTAGAAGTTAATTATTATAACTATTAAAAATGGCACACAGAAGTTTTATTATTATAATTCTATAAAAAAATTTAAAAAAAAAAATAAAGAAATAATCTAGATATCTACTTTTCAGGACGAGTTACCAAAGGGGTAGAAATTTTTGACTATTTATAATAGTTTTATTTGTAAAAATATATATTAAAAACAGTTCATCGAAAGCTTTCCATAATTTTTTAATTTATAATGTGATAATATAGAATGTAATAATATATCTTAAAATTTTATAAATTTTAGCTAAATAATTTATTTCATAATATACAATATTCCACCACTTTCATATTTATTCTTGTTTAAAAAAATTAATTTATAGGTCGCTCTTATTTAGTTAAATTTAGTTATAAAATGAAGTTATTAATAATTAATAAATAATATATAAATGAACAGAATTATGTTCAAGAAAGTCTTTTTACATTTTTATATACTTGTACCTTACAAGTAAATATGTTATTTTAATAAACTTATTGAGCAAGATACGTTAATAAACTTTTTCTTGTATGCAAATCCAATTTTTTATTTGTGATATTTGCAAAGAAATTGTTATTTCAATTTATCCGGTATGCAAATATATTAAGCAGTTTTACGAAAATTTTGAGATTGAAAATATCCTTTAGTATATTAAAAGTATTGCACTATTTATTTTTCAAAGAGTATAGAGACTCTTTGGAGAAACTACCTCTATTATAAACCAAAACTACATTTTGAAAAAAAATACAAATGATGTTAAATATATTAAGCAATACTATTTCCGTTATAGATATACTATGTCGTCCAGACTAATAAAAAGTAATATCATTTAGTTACTTTATTTGTATAATTTGTATATAATGTTCACGCACACCTTAATTTAGCAAAAACCTTAATTTCGTCTTCATTTCAGTGAAATTAAGTTGTTTTTTTTCATAAAATGTTTAGTTTTAATGTTTTGAAAAGATAATTTTTAACATTTGATATGTAAACAAAAAACATATGATTTCCTTAATTTGGTACAGTACGAACACTTTCCAAATCAACTAAATTTCATTATAAAAAAATTAGAGAAATTTGGAAGTCTGAACATAGTATAAGTTTAGTTACTTTCATTATTTATTTATAATTTAGGTTTTCTGACTTTTATTTGTAGAGTGATAAGTTATATGAATTCTAAGTCCTCGAACAATTATTGGTTACAACTTTTAACAGAAATGAAAAAAGGTGTTGTCATATATTGTACTTGTTTTTCTAATGGATATGTCGTAATGTCACATTTTACAAATTCTTTATATTTTCTTCTAGAAGACAGAGTGTTAAATAATTTAAGAAAATTAAAATTAAAATTTTTTTGTATTTTTCATGAATTTTTTTCCGCTTACTGATGAGTAAAATTTCTAAGAATCTACATATTAATAACATATTTCAATAAAATTTTATTCAAATTTTATGTGACAATTTAATTACATTAACCCAATCAGCGATATTACGCAATTGACTCGCTAATTGTATAGCAATTAGTTGCATTTATTATGCAAAATTATCCAAAATAATTGGGTCAAAATAGCACAATTATACAGTAATTATATATTGCGATTAGGAAAGTGCTACCCCATAATAATCTAATTTGACTATCACATGTGCAAGTATTAAAAACAAAAAAGGAATAAATAATAAAGAATCACATTAAACCTCAATTTTTAAATAAAAAAGTCCAGCTAATTCTTAGAAATGTTAAATTAAATAGCATAATAATAAACTTTCTTGAGTTAAATTTAACTTTATATTATGTTTAATTTGATTTTCAATGATTTTTATTAATACCTATACCTTCAATGAATTTAGTTGTTAAGCTTACAATTCTTATATATGTACTATCTCCTTTATCTGCTTCATTTGTATGATTATTTATATGATAGTTGAGTCTTCGTAGTGCGAATATCGAAAGGGTAGTAGAAACTTTGTTATAACGCATAAAGTAAAACAGTATGTCTTTATCAATAGTTAATCATTTGGATTTCAGAAAATCAAAATAATGATTGGTTTAATGTACCAAAAAGATGTACCAAAACCTACTAAAAAATACAAATTATACATTAATACATAATGAAATGAATAATTATAATACAATAATAAATATTAAGGTTTAGTATACTATTTGTAGTCGTTTTTCCAATACCTTGGCATATATGACATTACTATTTAACTTTTTGGTACTTTGTTAATTCACTATAATACTAGATAAAAAAGTTGAAGTGCTTTTAGAATTTTAAGTTTGAGAGTAATTAATAATATTACTTAAATTAAAATAGCTAATTCAAATAGATTAATCCAATATATTATTATTATTTACGATTATTATTATAAATTATCATCAGAATAAAAAAAAAAGAAAAAGAAAAATAGGTTTGTTTTTTTATAAAAAAATGTTTATTTTCGTTTCGTTTGATTTCTTACTTTACATACCGGTATATAAAATCTAATTTTACTTATTTACAGAAATAGTTTATATCATTAAACTAATCGAAAACTAATTTTCACTAGAGTAGAAAAATTATAAAACACATTTTCCCACACTCTAAATACTTTTACTTATAATAATAGGCGGCAACTAATATTAACTAATTTATATATATATATTTAAAAGAAGTCTTCTACAGTAGACATCTATAGTTTCATATAAAAAATTGTGAAAAATTACCTAACAAAATACATAACAATATAGATCCAATAATAGTTCAACTATTCTCAGATGCCACACAGAATTGCAAATATTCTTCATAGTAATACCATGAGTAGTTTAAAGTACATATTATATATAATACATTATGTAGATCATGTCACATCTACTATGGATTTGACACTTTACAGTGCTTTCTTTTCTTCTGTGGTAATTTTGCTGATAGCTGGCGTGGGTCCATTAAGATTTTTGGCATTAACATCATTGTTGTTATTGAGTTCCTTCATTTTAGCTTTTTCTGCTTTGATAGCTGCTGATTTCTTATATGATTTCTGGTAAAAGTCATTGAAGAGGAAATAGAAGAAGACTGCGTTGGGCAATGTGAAGCAAACAGACCATCTGGGATAACCACAGTCTGTATACAACAATTGTGTCTGATGAATGAAGGCCATGCAAAATTGAATCTGTAAAATTGTATAAAAATAAATGTTTGATTAAGAAATTCGTATAAAAACATATTTTCATTGATATGTGCGCGTAAATAATGTATGTACAAAAAATAGGCGTGAAAAACAATTAAATTTTTTTTTTGGTATCCGAAAGCGGTACTCTTGACATGTGCGTTTAATCTGATTACGGCTCAGTTGTATAACTTCATTGGCAAGAAATAAGTACCAACTATTGAACGAATGATTAAATTATATGGGAAATGAAAAATTGATATTTCAGTTATTGATATTTTAGTGATGACATTTCCATTTCAATAAAATACTGTATTTTTCAAAAAAAAAAATTAGAGTAAAAATGATATTAAACCTTAAGCAAATTTTATAAGTACTGTATAAAATATATTAAGACGGATACAGATTTGCATTGAAATGCTAATGTGAAATAATGATAATCTACTGTATTTACTTTTAAACATTAGTATATATTATAAAAGAAATTACGAGATTTACTACAAAAAGTTCGACTCTTAATATAGTTCTTCAGCTCTTTACTTGAATTTTAAAAACGTTAAAATAGGTTTAAATAGGTTTAGAAATATTTTTATACTGCTTGTTAAATTCTAATCGAGTCAACTTAACTCGTGCCAAAGTGCCATATAAATAAGTAAGTTACATGTAAAAATGTGCTTGTTCTTCTTAACTAAATTCTATTTACCATTTGCAAGTTTGTGATATATTTTTTCCACCACAAATATTTTTGTACTTTTGGTCCAAATGCGGATAAGAAGTAGTAAGTATACATAATAATATGTACAAATGAATTAATCCAGCCGATAAATGTACCGTGTCCGCCGGGGAAGTATTTGGTGGTGCCCCATGAAATCATTGGCATAACAGTGTGGTGATATACATGCAAAAATGTGACCTGACGTTCATTTTTACGTAAAACAAAGAAAATTGTATCCAATAGTTCAGTAATCTTGGCCAAGTAGTAGACATAGACTACACGTGCTTCCTATAATATAGAAAAGTAAACTTCATTTAGAAAATTTCTAGATAGGAATATATAATGTGCTACTTACTCTATAAGCTTTTGGTGTTCTGGAGCGATCAACAGGCTGACAACGCCAACTGTAGTATTGCCAAATAACAACGCCCTAAAGTAATAAAAACAATTTTAATCAATAAATTATTAGTATATATCTATGTTTATAAAATAAATTAATGATAAACCAAGCCTCGATTTTGTTGAAGAGATGGAAATTGGCCTACTGACCTCATATACCATCCATATACTCAACAAAACTTGAAAGAAATTATACACCATCAGCGTCTTTTCCAATTTAAATGGTTTTCTGTCCTTCATGAAACGCGGCCCCCAATTCAACACAAAGTATAAATAGCAAATAATTATGGTCAGTATCGGCACGGGTGATTTAATTAAGAACCAATCATTTGTACGTTCATCTGTAAAATATTACAGCATTTAAATGTGATTCGTTACAGTTGCATTACGTATTAATAGTTTTGCTTAGTATATCCATGATTACTTACCGGCCAGTTCTGTGAAGAGGAAGTTCCAGTAATCGGTTTGTGTAGCATTTAACTCTGCCATTTTAATTTAGAAAAATCTGTCTGTATGGGTACAAAATTTGCTGAGTCTGTCTAAATAATTTGTTTGTTCTTTTGAAGGTTTTTCAATGCCGCTGTGCTACTCAAAATATTCAAAACCAATTCTGCAATATAAGAATAAAATCGAAATTATATAATCATAAATTTTAATGATTTCATTTGTTATGATTTTGTTGTTGCTTTTTAGTCTGTTTATACTAACTTCCGAGTAAAATTAATTTCAGATAATAACTGCTAATGTACTCATATAGGTGTATCTATATGCACCAAATATAAGCACGTATGGTCTCTCATTAATAAGTACATAAATTATCTTGGATTATGAAAATAATAACAAGTAAAAATATATACAAAAATAAATATCTTACGCAAAGTTATGAATTAGTGTAGTGTACGCTATAGTCAGCAACCTGTAGATGCGAACTTAATAATTGGTTTTTGATTAATATATTCTTAGAATTTTTTAGAAAAATGTTTAGAAAATTTTTTACGAAAATAATGTATTAAATATATAAAATATAAAACTTATTTTAGATTTTAGTAAAAAACTTATTTTGTGTTTAAACTGTTTATTGTAGAAAGGTAACTACAGAAATCACATCTTGAAGATTTTGGGTTAGAGGTTAAAATAGTCACCTACACGGTAAGGCTTGTAATGACATTTCAATACCTATAAACTTATAAAAACTCTAAAGACTATTACTTTTAATAAAATATATAAAAAAACAATTTTTTCAATTTCTCAAAGCTATAGGAAATATTAAATATATATTTAATATATACTCGCTGATAGATCATATACATATGATCTGCATATAGGACATATAAAATATTAAAATATTAAATATTTTTTTTATTTTAAAAAAATTGTTTGTAATATTTTTGCTTCAAAAGCTTTTGTGATATATTTTTGGTGGTTCTTAAAGCTATCTTTCAGTTTAACTGATTTATCAAAAAAAGTTTTAAATTATAAGACAAAGCGACTATGTATACAAAAGTATTTAAAGTGATTTAATGTTAACTTGGCTTAATTTATGTCATATTTGTGTTGAACGAGTAACACTAGATGTGCGTGGTTAGAATTATAAAAAGTTTTGATTGAGGACCGACATTTTTCACATATATGTGTCAGTTAAGCAAGTTCTTTAATATAGATTAAAAATCTCTTAATTGATGTTGGCGCGACTTGATATCTATCTGGAATATTTTGTTTTAGTATCTGAATATTAATCATTTAACATGAAAAAATATTATTTAGTCCGAATAATTTGAACTCTGGCTTTCTTTGATTATACCGAAAAATTTTCGAGAAGCAATCTAAAAAACTGGTTATAATCTGAGTTTGTGGTGGACAAATGACAAATGATAACTAAACTCATTGATTTACTTTAGAAGCAAGTTTCAATACAAGCAGTTTATCTTTCACTAAATTAAATATTCCAAAAGGACTTCTTAAAAAAAGATTAAAAAGACACAACGAATTACTTTATAAAATATTGGAATAGTAGTTCAATTCACTTTTAACAAATTATGGAAGATGTGCCCGGAATGGATTGCTTTTAGCTCTTGGTACTGACATTTAATTTAACTTAAAATAAAAATTTTGTGTAAATATTTTAGCTAAGGAATATTGCTCAGTCGATCTTACTACTGAAATGCTTCTTTCTATATACAAGAACTAGGCATTATGAAATTTAATTCAAAATTAATGCGTGTTCCTTTTAAAGTTCTATATAACAAATTGCTTTTTATGTAACATTTATATAGAAAATTATACCTATTCGAATAATATTTCTAACAGGCATCATTTTGAATACAAACAAACTTTTATTTGATAACTCATTGCCTATTGGAACGATACTATATATTCAATAAATATATGCTTTCAAATTAATTTTCATAGTATTATGTTAAAAATATTTACTGGAAATTTGATTTGAATAGTTTCAAAGATAAAATTAAATTCTATTCAAGCTAATGTTGTGGCTAATAGGATTAGCAATACTAAACTAATAAACTAATACATTGAAATTTGATGTGTATGGACACAAGTGTTATCCAATAAAAGTTTTAAGCTAGTAAACTATTATTGTGATGGTATATAATATATTAATTAAAATAAATTTTCTCAATAAATATAAAATTTCTCATAAATTTATTATAATGCAATAACAAAAAATTTATTTATGAAAATTGGGTATTTATGAAAATTGAGTTCACATTCTAATAATACCTTTTCAGAAATGAATAATAGCTCACAATGTATTAAAAACGATTTGGATTTTCAGCAATATAAAACGTTGTTACAATAAATATACATAAGTTTAACCTAAAAAACGTTTAACCTAAAAAATAATATTAAACATATATATTTTGTACAATTTGCGCTACAGATTTTTATAAAAAAAATTTAATGTACAATTTTCATTAATTAACTAAAGTCCCGTCTTAAGAGAAGACGTAAGTTACTAAAACGCTTTATGTGGACCTAATGTGAAAAGACAGTTTTACGAGCTGTTTCAAAGGAACAGATAGCGAAAACACTATTTTAGACCAGAATATCAACTATTGCATTTCATATATAAGAAATCGTTTGTTTTCTTATATATAATTTAAATTCAATTGTTGTTATATTAAAATTAATTTCTGCCTTGATATTTATAAATACATCTAGCCAAATTACTTCTCTACATATTTTCAAAATGACACATTATGTTTTTTTTTCTATAATTATAACTTTGAAGCCTATATTTATTCTTATTTCTTAACTTTTTATTTTTTTTTAACTTTTTTGTTTTCATCAAAATCTATTTCCTACACCATACCTTTTACTACTCCTACTCCTACTTACCTTTTACTATGGGGTTAGGTATTTATACAATACATGTTAACTCCAAAAAGCATGATCTGGTAGTCTGGTGAGATGAGAACTAATTCAACTAGCGATGTTAAATCAATTTGCATTTTCTTAGAGACTCTCTATGAAAATGCAAATACTACATATGGTTTGTTTGCTAAACAAAAAATTTTCCTTCATTCAATTCAGTGTAATTGTTATAGTATAATATTAGTTACATATTTTATTTCATCTTGTAGCTCTCTTCTTAGTCGGTTGCTATCAACCCATTGTATTTCTCTTATTTACTTAGGTTTTTTACTATTCATATATAAGTCAAGATATCATCTTTTCACTATCATGAAAAGTAAAATTGTCATGTAACAGTTAATTATGTTCATTATTACGAATTAAAAATTTTAAGATGGGTACTCCTATCCGCCAAATTTCTCAACGTATTTATTTTGTGACTATTTTTTAGTCGAATTTCTTCGTAAGTTCGCAATAATTTTGAAAAGTGCAAATGTGCCACATATTTTTAACCTCATTGCGTACCTTAAATAAAAATAGAAAATGGAATAAAAATTATCGTAAAAATAATGAAACTTTTTTTTGAATGTAACCGGCATCTGATTTAACCAAGTCTAACTTTTAATACACTTAAGTCATACCTATAGACAAATAACTTTTAAAAGTGAGTATTTAATTTACAAAGAAATGTCGGTGTATTCAAATCAACTTATTCACTGTTTGATATATTTGTGTTAGATTTTAGAATATCTATCTTTTTGTAATAATTTTTACATTTCATTTTGACTTCTTCTGTTGGTGATGTTTTCCTTTTAATATCTTAAAAGCATTAAATTTTTACAACTCTTATTTGACAATTTTATGGTTTTGTCAACAAACTTTGACAAACAATGACTGGAATGATGGCGCAAGCACTGGGTCAATTTTTAAAACTTTGTGGAGCAAGACAGGTATGAGGCTTAAAGGTGCTAAAATCAACTCAATTTGTTTAATTAACTATATAGGAAATATTGAATACTATTGTGTATCGAGTATTTACTATAAGTTTTCAAATTTGTGTCTCAAGCGTCATTAAAAAAAATTTCATTTGAATCCATTCACAAATATTCTCAACTTGCGCGTGTAAGTACGTGTATGTCAATGCGCCTCTAGACCATGCAACTGACCTTGCCAAAATATTGTTACCTTTTTACTTAATGTGCTGTTGACTTCTCTAATCTGACAGAACTACTACCATAAGCTTTAAATATATATTTTCTTTAACTTTTTGCTTTTTTTTGTGCTTATATTTTTTTAATCATATAAAGTAACTAACAAATTTATTAAATAAACAAAACTACGAATACAGATACATGGCCCCGAAAATATTTGAAAAGTAATGAACATATTTGTGTGAAAATTTGTATATGAGCTGCGCACGCCGAAAGGTTCATAAAAGGTATGAAGACATGTAAGACCGGGAAATTATGAACAATTTCCACTTGGTCAATCAATTGGCAAAATAATAAAGAAATCTCTATTTAACCTTGAAAAATGTCACTTAAACTAAGTTTATGAGGTAATATTTCTTAGACTCGTGAGGATTTATGTTTTGCATAAAAACAAAACTTTTATTTTTTAAATCAATAAAATCAATTCTTGCTATTTTTTGATATTATAGCTAAAAGTATCTGAAAGTACACAATTTCTATGTAAATTCTTGATTTATGCAAATTATTTGAATTAATTTTGCAACTTTTAATTTTTTTTTCGCAAATGCCATCAAATTTTTTGACGAGGACAGGAACAAATGAGTGTATGCATAAAAAACTGTTTAACTTAATATTCATACTTTTTAGATTAATTTTACTTATTTTTTTCTAAAGTATTTTATCTTTATAAAAATAGAAATATTTTTATTGTTATAGAATAAACTTGCTTTAGTGTATATCAAATCTTGAATATTTTATGGATTTTAAATTTTTACTTTTAGATATATTTTGTACTTTTATTTTTTACTTTTTATATATATTTTACACATATAAAAACAGAGGTTAATAATTTAATCATCTATTTGCAAATTAAATTAATTAGTTTTATTAGGAATCAATAACAATATTTACTTTAAATAGTTGATAAAAGCAAACTACAAAAACTTATAATTAAAATAGTTGAACGAAACGATATGATTTAACAATTATGAAAGCTTTTAACTTAATTAAGTAATAATAATATGTTTAGTTAACAATTTCATCCTTAACTGAGGTTAATTTGCATGAAATATAACTGAACTGAAAGAAATTCTAATATATAGCTAAATTGCATATAAAACTTAATTAACTTTAAACTGTTCACATTTGCACACATGACAATTATGATAATCATAGTTTTTACAATCTTTGGTAACAGCAAGTAATCGGTTATCGATTAATGTAGTAAAAATTCAAAGCAGCAAATGTTTATTGTTAATACCGCGTGCAATTACTAAGCCCTTTACTTAAAATCGCTAGTGTCACTAATTTCCTATATTGTCCTAATATATCAATTAAGATTATATTATATATTTATAATATATTTTTTTTAAAGGGTAGAAGATCTTATAAAAATGTAATTATAATGTTATATTCTAGTTTTTTAATTAATAAATGATTAAGATATGTTTGTATATGAGTAAGCAGATAAATAATGTTTATGATTATCACACTTATTGATAAATCATTTGATATCATTTGTAAATATAAGAATCAGAAATATTCTGTAAACAAGTTTGTAAATGACAAATATTTGTAAACTTACATTTAAAGTAACATCGTTATTATAAAATAATGTTTCATTTATTTTACTAATTAACTAATTTTTGAGATATATTTAGAAATGAGTAAAAAATGAAATACGCAAAAGGAATTGAAATGCAGAGTAACCCACTTATATATCATTCCACTCTAAATTAATATAAAATGAAATAAGAAGACTGATAAGAAAAAATAAAGGAAGAGACTAACAGATAGAGGTACCGAGTATAATATGGATACAGAGAGAGAGAGACAATAGGAAAGAATAAAGAAAGAAAACGAAGAACAATCATTGATTGTCAAATAATTTAATTTTATAAACAGATAAACAATAAAAACAGATACAAAATTCATCACTACTGCAATAAATGGCACCGACCTATAAATCTTTATTATATTTGGTGATTTTGCTTAATGAATCAATTTAAAAAATTGCACGGATTTATTCTATATAACTTTATATTGAATAAATAATTAAAATACATATGTATGTGTTTGGGTTTTTTTAGGGAATGAAACAAAAATGTTCCTTTCTGCATGGGATAAAGAGAAAAACATGTAAATAGGTATAGAAGAAGGTCTAAAATTTTTAATACCATTCTAAAAATTATCATTATATGAATTTAAATTGTAATATGTGGATATTTTTAAAACAATTTTTATCCGATTTACGGGGTGTTTAATATAGCTAAAATATTTTGTTAATTTTTTTTAAGATAGTGGATTACTGAAATGAACGTAAGAGCCTATAAAAAGTTTTCATATTTAATAATATTATATTGAAATTTCATATAATGTGCCTCGATATAATGACAAAAAAATTATTAACAATAACTGGAAAAATATTGGAAATGCACATTAGAATAATACATTGATTGATTTTTAATCGTTATTGTAAGAAGTAGTATTTAAAAATATATGTTTTTCCAAAGTTTATAATATAAATTATTTAAATATAGGCAATTGTTAGTTTCTGGTTGTAAAGTAAAAGCAGAGACAAGTTGTAATATTTCTGTTCTGTCTTATTTATATATGTGGCTTCCTGTTCGTTCTATTCAAAAATTTTTATAAAATATATAATTTATATATTATATATATTTTATTTAAATATACTAAGGTGAATTTTAAATATAGTTTAATATTCAGCACAAATTCACTAAATTGAGTATATACTTAATTTTACCACGGTCCATATTTAAAATAAATATTTCCGTGTTTGATAGGAAATCGTAGCAAAAGATATTTAACGTTAATACTTTTTATTTGATTTTAATACGTTTTTCCTCCAATAAATTTTAATAAATGTTCTCATTTGTATTTGTTGTATTAGATATTAGACAGAAAAATCTATTATAAGTAAACTGTACAGTTTATTATTATAGTTTATATTAATTTTGTTTTGATATTGACAAATTAAACAAGTCATTTTATTCATATATTTAATTCATATTATTGAAAAATATATAAAATATATATATATATATATATTTTGATATATAAAATCAAAATTCAACCTGAATCTCGAAAAAAAAACAAGTATATACAAACGATTAAAGTCGATACTAATATTTACAAAAAATATATATGCACGGAAAGACCAAGATTATTTCTTTAAAAAGGTTACCAAACTTAGAACATTTTGAAATATTGACTTTTTTTGGTTATATATATAAGAATGTTAACAATCTTCATAATTTATGTAAAAATAAAAACAAAATTTTAATATATGTGCCACGCTTACTTTGTATATAATAAATAATTTATTCACTTGGAAGCAAAAAGTGTTTATTTCTTTAATTAGATGCAAAAATCAAATGATCATTTATAATTATATATATAAAAGTTGAAAAAAATAATTTCGTACAAACTTTAGAAATTCTGATCTCTTCCTATGTTAGACTAATCATTAAATACAATCTAATACAAAATACCGTAAAGGACTTTAAAATCAAAAAAATAATAAACTTATTGTAGTAATTTGTGAAATAAAAATATTTTTTGAATAATATTCTTCACAATTTATTAACAATAATAAACTAAGTGCAAAAATTCGGTATTTCCACTTATACCAGAGTTAAAACTTTCAATATATGCTACTTTATGTTATTATATATCGCAGTTTATATATTTGTAATAAAAATTTTCCATTAATCTTTCCGAGTTTTTAAAAGTTAACACTTTAAATCAGATATTAAAGTCCCTAAATATATTTATAATATTAGTACATACAAAGAAATCAAAAAATTAATAATGAAGGATATTCAGAAGTTATTGAAGTAACGCATAAATTCAATACTCCTTATCTTCGTTAATCCTAAAAATCGAGTGCACACTCACTTCCCTGCACCTTATGCATTGAATATATTAATGTTTTATTTCTGAAATATTATGCTTTCGAAAATTTGTATAAGAATCAAAGATTTAAAGTAGTGATCATATCTTTTAAAATTTAGGAAGAGTAAAGCAGATTGTACATCCATTTATTTACTTATGTCTCGGAACTGCCAGAAATCTAGAATAAATCTAGACAGTGGCGTAGCCAGAGAAGAATGGGAATAAAAATAAATTAAAACCTATATTTCCGGTGCTACAAATTTAACAAAATTAAGAGTATTAAACAAATAAATTTAACTCAAAACAATAAAAGTAGAGATTGTGTAAAAGAATATATATAACATCTATAACATTTTATATACAACATTTAACTTTCATCTAACCTGAAAAGGTCTTCAATCTGAAGACCCTGTGCGACATATATCTTTAAAAGTAGCACAACATAAATAGCACAACATAAAATAAAAATCGTTTAAATAAAAGGAAATATTTCAGTACTGTTCACTCTAGCAACTTAATGTTTTATATAAGTAAATTGTTTCTAATAATAATAATTGCAACTAAGATTCTTACATTAGCATGTACTGCCTGAAAATACTAACTTCGGTTGGGTTGCCTACTAACATTAGTTTTGTATATATATTTATCATATTACATTTTTATATTGATTTATATATATAAATAACTTATATAACCACTTGTATAATATATATTTTTTATGAAATTTTTTAAAGGAAAAAATATTTTCTTTTTTAAACTGCGTTTAATTCTAATGATCTTTTTTACTATATTTTATGCTTTTAGTGCTTAAAATGAGTGCCGCTGTATTTATACTATAACCTGAGTTTGTGAACTTTAAAATTTCATACTCACAAACCTTTATAATTTGTTACATAATCAAATGTGTTATTAAGTTGTTTATAATGTTTTTCAAATACTAAAATTCTCGTGAACCATAAAGATTTTGCTACTTTTTTTAGAATTTCATAGTACACTTTCACACTTATTTTTACATTCAACCTGTATTGTTATAAAATAAAACACTTCATTTTTACATTTAATAGTTGAGTCCTTCTACGGAGGGTACTCGGTCATACTAAATATTCTTGAAATTCACTTGATATTCATATGTTATTCCTTTAAATTTAAAACACTATTTATCACTTTTTAGCATATTTCTAGTTTTATGTCAAATGCTAAATTCTCACCTTGCAGCTGCAATTTATCTCCGTTGCCGCTGTTTTATTTGCTTGCACTGAAATCTTTTACTATGTCTTATACAGAAAACTATGGACACTTTAACACCACTTCTGGCATCCGCTTCCCACGAAACCCATTCACAAACTGAGCTTTTCAACCGTAATGTGCACCACTAAGTATGACTTCTACCGCACGCCGTTTGCTCTGTGCTATTCGCTGATGCTGTATCGTTGCTGCTACTGTGATAAAATACTCAATTTAACCAACAATACTTTTGTTGGCTCGGTCCAGTTGTATTGATCGCGCACGCACACGTTAATTTTCTATTGTTGTCACGGTGTTGTTGTTGTTGTTGTTGTTGTTATTGTTATAGTAGTTCCGATGTCGTGTTTTGGTTCAGTTTTTTATTTCATTATCAAAGTTCTTTTTTTAAACAAATCTTCTTCTTCTTATACATTTGTATCTTCTGCCGTTTCTATAAGCTAAGTTGATATTTTTTTACGATCATTGTTGTTGTTGTATTCTATGATTATGTCAAGACTTTATCAATTATAAATTTTAGTCTAAGCCTGACTTTTGCTTGTGTTTCGTTGTGGAGTTTGTTTCGTTTGCCGGTTCTTGTTTTAATATTTGGGTTTTTTTTTTAAATAGTATTGTTTATTAATTATTATTAACAATATTTTTATTTTTTTTATTTCGGTTTTGTCTATAGAAGATATTGTCAAATTTTTAAAATCTGCAAATCGTTTTCTGGTATTTCTAGTGTCAATGTTGAATTTTTTTTCAATCAATTGTCAATCTATAAATGTGTTTTCTTTGTTATGATATTCGAACAGATTTTATATTTAATTTGAAATAAAATAATTATAACTCACAATGGAACAATTTTACTGTTAAGTGTAATTATCAGAGAATCGCTTCAGTCCAAAAGTTGCTTTCAATGTTGTCTACTGTGCATGATTGGTGCCTTGGCTGACATTGAACTTGAGTTTTTTAACGGGGTTAACTTGAAATGTATTTAATCACTTCACCATTCTAATACTGTTCTTAACCTAGTAAACTTTTGCTTCTAAAAGAAATGAAAAAAAAAAACTGAAAATGTTCATGCTCTATAGGAACGAATGATTAGCACTAAATTAATTTCAAGCTTCGAAAATTATAGAATTTACTTCATCACTAAGGCGAATATGTTTTTTCACTTAACTTTGCCCATTTTTTACGCTATTTTCAAAATTTACCTAATTTTGTCGAATTTGGATTTTAATTTAAAATTTAATGCGCTATCGGTGTATTGGGTTTTGTTTGCTTATATTTTATGTTTTTGTTATTTTTCTACGCAATTCTCGAGTTATCAGCATTCATGTTGATTGGATGGAGTATTTAGAACTCTTGACCTTTATTTGAATTTAATTTGTACTTATAGTAATATGAATTTAATGAAATATAAGTGGACTACCAACATAGAAACGTCGATTTCAGGTGCTATTTGAGGAGGGAAGTAACACAAATTTAGCATAACGTATTGATTGACCAGCGGTCAGTAACATCAACAAGTGTTAACCACCAGGGTTGCCAAAATTATAACAAAAACCATTACTAAATTTTTTTAATTTTATTGTAATTATAACATATTGATTATGATAATAATAATAAAATATTAATTTTAAATATAATTATAATAATGTTATGGTTGTCATTACTGAACACAGTATAATAGGTCAGAACGCCTCAAAAATGGATATTACAGCCAACATCTACTACAGAAGATGTAGTCATGAGGAGGAAAAAGACACTATCAAATAAATTCTATTTTCCTATCCAATGTATAACAAAAAAGGATGAAAATATTGTTTGCTATTAATTGAGGGGCACCTCACCAGAGTTTCTTTTTTAAAGCTACTGAGGCTTCTTACAATAACAAAACAGTTCAACGAGAATGTATTCATTTAGAGTCCTTACTGGGAAGATGTAGTGTCAAAAGCTACAAATTTGACTTAAGTATATCGAGTGGTTATTCAGAAAGTCGGCAGATGTGTTCACCTTCCAACCTACCTATTGTAATAATATAAATTTAAGTGTTTTTGAAATAAAAAAAAAACAGACTGCAAATGATGAAATGTGTAGTTTAAATTCAGTACTGCAAACCTATGTTCAATAAATTTGTACTCTTGCTAGAACTGCTAGAACTCCTAACTAATACTATTCAGTTTTAAATAAATTTAATATAATAAATCAATTGATGTCGCTGTTCAACATTTTCAATGTATGATAAACTTATTTAAATAAATGCTGTTGATATTTTTTTATTTAATATTTGTGCAGTTATTGCTTAAAGTATTTCAGATTATTACTGAAAATGGCGCAAATAGTTGATTAGAAAATAAATCCACAAAATTTATCAAATATGTATATTAAATACCTACCATTATATAAAAATACTTAGATTTGCTAAAATGCTAAGTCAATAAATTATTTAATAATAAAGTGAACTTTCTTTTTTCTTGATCATTTTTTTTCTAATAAAAAATAGTTTACAAATAAATTACAATATACAGTTATCGTACTTTAATATAATTAAAAAATCAGGTCCTCAAATTAAAACAAAAATAGTGGTTGAACCTAGGCCCTGGTTTGACACGTTTAATATGAAAATTGTTTACGAAAACTTTGTGTTTTAAACAGACTAAATATGTTTAGCTTTGACATTTCATTTTGTTTACTTTATTGTAATCAGCTGTTGTGATTTGATAGAGACTTAAAGAATAACATTGATTTCACAGGTTTTGCAATATCTTTGTGGATATACTTGAATTCCTTTCTGTTGATATTTTGCTTTTTGCAACCCTGTGTAGTTCATAATTAAACCCTCGGACATGCTTATATTTTCACACTAATCATTCTATAAGGCTAAACATGTTTAACAACAAGTTGCAACAGTTAAACGTACTCCGCGGACCTAAACCAGTTTGATACATCTGTTTAAAAAGACTACTAGTATAAAATTTATATAAATAATAGCAATTTTTATTTGTAAAAATTAAAGTAAAGTTATTTGCAAACTAATGCTTATTCACATATTACAAATACTACAACAATAATAATTATACACCATATTGACCATATTAGTTGGCTTGATTCTACTTCGATATAATATAAAACTGATCGAGCAATTATTATATCTTACTATACCGATGGAGTGTGACGTTCGAAGAAAAATCTATGACTTAAAAATTCTAGTACATAATTTCATCAAGCCCTTGCTTAAGTATTCAATATGTAAGCATGCCCATAATGGGTTTTTGGCAATATTTTCAGTGACATTAAAATAATTTCTACTATGTGATGGTTTATTTATTTTGTAAAGACCACTAGAAATCAGTGTTGTCAGATAAAGCTATTTGTAGGCTATTTATAAGGCTATTTTATTCATTATTTATTTTAAATTATTTTAATTTAATTATTTTTACTATTAAATTAAGTACTGTTTCGAATATTGGGCACTTCGGTCTACATAAGCGATGAAGTTTAGCTACTTTTATTAAACAATAACTGCCAATATTACTAGGGACAAACAGGTTCCGCTCCAGTTCCAATGTAGTCCGATGACACATGGATTCTGAGCACAAACAATATAAATATATCAAATGTTTAAGAAAGGATCGTGCTATGAAGAATATATCCCTATATAAAAAGAATATATATCACAGCCTTGTCAACCGACTGATTAGGCAATAATATCGCGAGTTAATATATATATCAACTTATAATTGGAGATATGTCTTGATGATATTGAAGTTCTCAAAGTAAACAGAGGAAATGAGCTAGACTAATTTCATTAATGAAAACCCAGTTTAGAAATGTCAAAACAATAAGTTAAGAAGTTTATATAAGAAAGTAAATATTGTAATTAAATTATAAATCTAAATATTGTCTTTTATTAAAATACTATTAAAACAAGTAATGACCATAAAATATATTACTGTAACGCGCCATTTATATCTTCGCAGAGGAGCACTATGATTGAATCGATAGATTGTGTCGACAATGATGCAGCACACATAAATGTGAAAAATTGGGGAAAGGACTGCCAAAATTTTATTAAAGGCGAAGACCCAAATTAGGTTGTGCAGCCAGATATAATCATAATTTATTTTAAAAGATATTTGACCTTCATATTATGAGGTATTTTCATTTAGTTCAATTGCACTATTGAAATTATGTGTTTAATTCCAAAATTTTCTACAATGGTCTACTACAATATCTTTATTATTAGTAATAGAAGAGACAAAGTGATCTAAGCGATCTATTGCGTTATCCCTGACTGATAAAAGTTACTTTCAAACCGTAAATGAAGAACAATAATAATATTAAAAACAGCTGAAATGAAAAACAAAATCATCAAACGGATGGAAACTTTAACAAAAATTTAACATATATCTACAATTATACCTTTTCTGGTATAAGAGTGAGCAAATGCTTTTAATGATGAGTAATACAACATGAATTACAAAATACTGAATTAAAGATTCTTTTGACAAATAGTAACTTTAATCGTTAAACCTCAGAATAGATACGAATGGTTATTAGTAACTTTTTGTATTTGATTCTTTATCTTTATCTGAAATTGTGTTCTGTTATGGGCTTCTTGAATTTTTAATTTTACGCTTAATACAGAAACGAGTATGTTAATTAAAAGTGTTACTAATTCAAAACATAATTTTATTTTTGTTTGTGTTTAGCGCTAAAAGAATTAACCTCAACTTGTGTTCTAATTGCCACTTCACTGTTTGGCCAATTGAGTTGAGTTTTCAAGGACTTAACGGCAACTGCTACTTTTGCAAACTTCATTTCTGTAGTTCTCTGTCTTTATCTCGTTATATTTTAAAGATTTTTTCCAAAGTATGTTTTTACTGTCGATTTTAAAATTTTCAAAATCACATCACAAATTTGAATATTGCTTATTGCGGTTATTAAATATTTTAACTGAACATGGTCAATGCTATTTCCGGCTGAAACGCACTGCTCTAGCGACGCTTAGTTCGAGTTTCTGCACTTGAGTTGTGATAAATGATAATACCGCTATCTGCAAAAACCGATCCGCAAAGGTTAAGATACATTTTAATCTGTGTTACCGTTGTGACTTGAACTTGACTTTTGCTGTTGAATATGCTTTTTTTTTAGAATATAAATTAATTTGCACGTTTTTCTTTACACATCGGACAGTATTAATTAAA